GGCAACCGGTCCGGGCCGGCTCGCCCCGGGCGGCGGGGATCAGGTTGCAGGGGTGTCGGGCGGGGCTTGGGGTGGGGAGCAGGAGGCGGCCTCGGGTTGGCTGGGGGCGGGGGCGGGCCCTCGCTGGAGGGTGACGTCGGAGCGGCCGAAGCCGGGTCCCCACCCCCACCTGCCGCCGCCCAGGTGCGTGGCGTAGTGTGGTGTCTGCGGGTGCAGCCAGAGGGGTTCGGGAGCCCGCGCCCCCTGCCACCCGCTCGGGGCAGGGCCGCCGCCGGAACGCTCGGCTACGGAACCGTGAGGCCCGCCGTGGGCTGCGACCCCCACCGGCCCTCGGTGCCGTCGGACGGCGAAGGGGCCCGTGTGCGCCCGCCCTGGGCTGTCGAATCTGCAGAGGGCGCCTTCCCCCGCCCCCGGCTTGGAGACTGGGGTAGTGAGGGGAGAGCCGGCTGGAACGCAGCCCCCTTGCCTACGGGCACCCAGCGCCTCTGCCCCGGGTACGGCCAGTCGGTGGCCCTGCACCATCCACCGCCGCTCCAGACCCAAGTCAGGCTGCTGGGGCGCACGCTCAGCAGAGCCCTTTCGTTTCGGGTCGCTCCCAACTGCTGGGGATCCCCCCACCAGGGCTTAGGCAGAGCTGGAAGCTCAGGGTCCATCCCAGGTGAGGAAACTGAGGCAGGTTGCAGGAGTGCCCAAGGACTGGGCTAGTAAGAACCAGGGCTCACCGAGGAGCTCCGTTAACAGCAAAGGTGCCTGCCCCGTTCGCCCCCTTCTGATCCCCGAAACCTGCCATCCCACCGGCTCGGGACTAGAGGAAAGAGAAGATGTGGCACCTCCAGAGGGCAGGAAATGGTGACATTGGAGACCAGCATGTCTGGGCAGGAAACAGGGCAGCCAGCTCCGGAATGCTGTCTTGGCTGTGACTTTTAGGAGTGACCTTGAAGGGCTGGAACACGAAATATGAACTCAGGGTGTTAGTACTTCCATTTTGCAGATGAGGAAACTGAGGTGTCGAGAGCTGCCCGGGGTCACAAAGCTAGTAATCAAGAGCCGAGGTCTGCACCTTTACCCGTCTGATTTCTCGTTCCTGGTCTCACCTCTGCAGAGCTGCCTTGTTGTTACAAAGGCCATTGGTCTCTGGCCCCCACCTCCTTCCAGGTGGGTACTGGTGTCCCTCCCTTAATCACCCGCAACCCACAGAGGGACCTTCAGCCCAACCCGCCCATCAGCATCCTTTCAATGAAACAGGTCAGAGCCTCGCCCTGAGCCCAAGGAGGATGAGGTCAGACCATTACCAGGCTGGTGCAGATGCTAAATAATTCATGGACGACTGTGCGCAACGGCTGCAGCTTCCGGCAGGGCCCAGAGTGCAGACAGCAGACAGGAAGCAGTCCGGTCGCCAGCACCTGTGCCTGACCCAGCACATCCCCCTGGGGCTTGGTTAAGTGATTGGGTTGGTGACCGTGGGTTTCAGGGCTGCTTGACCATAAGCAAGTCACTTAACCTGTTACTTGCTCTTATGTGAGCTGTGGGGGTCCTTCAACAAATGTGGGAGCCACAATGTAAATCAAATACTGGGAGTGGCACTTAGCAGGTCCTCAGACCCAGGGGAGGTACTGACCACCCGCTGGTCCCAGTACACCTTCCCAGGAGCCCAGTATTTCATCCAGCCTTGTGCCCCCACTCTGCCCCCAGCGTGCCAGGCAGCAGCAGGACTATGAGAACAGTCCCCCCCCTGCTGCCCCATTCCTGTTCCCAGGCTTTGTGTGTTGGGTGGGGGAGGGTACACTGGTCTGGAGCTGGGCTGGTTTGGGAGACCTGGCTTCCCCTCTTAGAATAAATTCCCAACCAAGAAAAAGGTTACTTGAAATCAAACATCCTTTCTTGGTCTAGAAGACAAGGACAAAGATACAGAGGGGGGTGTGTGTGTATGTGTATCTCCCAGAAAAATTCTTGATGAGCACACAGGGATTCAGTGGTAGTAACTCCTCACAAACGGAGGTGGTCATTTAATTCCGAGCTGTTATGAAGTCCAAACTACTGTGCTGTGAGCTCGAGTTGGACAGAGTGGGTGTGGAATTGGCCTGAGCTTACCCGTGTCACATTCGGGCCCACTCTGGTTTTCTTCCCTTCAAGGCTTGTTTGTGATGCGGCTGGACCACTTCTCTTCCGCCTCTGCTTGGCCAAGGACCAGTGTCGGGGTTCACCTGAATCCGGCCAGGCCCGCATCCTTTAGGAGCCCCTACCTCTCCGGGCCTCCCCGCAGGCCTCCAGGGGACTCGGACGAGGAACAAACCCACATTCACTGCAGGCTGCTCCCCGGCCGCCTGGCGCTGCAAAGGACTCACGTGATACTGTCACCTCGAAAAGCAGGATAGTCCCTTTGTTCACCGTAAGGGATCTTGGGGCCACTAATCTAGATCAAGCGATGTCTGAGGTGCACAGAGCTCCCCCCTTTCCTTCCATCAGAGGGAAGTTATACTGCATTCTTGGAACTGAGCAATGGGGTACAATGGACCGTAAACAGTGGGTGGGTGGGTGGGGTGTCGTGCTTGGGGTGCAGCCCTCCTTTCATGGACAGGGCCTGTTAGTCAGTTTGGAGACTCCAGGGACAAAGGCACAGGCTGCTGGAAGCGGCACCGCAGCGTGGGACTGACTGAAGGGTGAGGTGGGCACAACCCCTCACCTGCACAGCTCTCGTCCTCGCCTCATCATGGCGCCCGAGGGGATGCTGGCTACGTCCTGAACTTCGGGGGCACACCTGGGGAAGCCCCTCTTGGACGAGCCAGCTCTGTCTGGTCCCAGAGAGCAAGACCAAACCAGAAAGATGACGCTACAGAGATGTTCCCACAAATCTGGAGCTGGGTACACCTCTGTCCTTGGTGCCAGCATGTAGGTCCCTCGGATGTCCCCCACTGCCCTGGGTGGCGTCAGGACCCTCCGGCGCATGTCCCGGCTGAGGCGAGCGGCACCAGCACGAGGTGTCCATGGTGAGGTGGAAACCTTTCCCCTGCCCATCGGGAAATGGCAGTGTTCAGTCCTGGATGCCACCTGTCTAAGGGCCTCGATTCCAGTCCACGGGGCCCAGGACTGTTAACTGGTCCCTGAGAATGAAGCCCCCGCCCCACTGTGTGTCTTGATGGCCCCCAGTTCATCCAAGATGGGGAAGGTGGGGTCACGTGCAAAGGGTCCTGGAGGGAAGCATCACGGGGACTCAGGTCCAGGCCCACAGGCCACGAAGAGGCGCAGTCTGTCCCGGCGTCGAATGAGCTCTGCCCCCGCTCGTGGCTTCCCACGGGTCATTCAGGGGGTGGCAGAGACCCAGTGAGAAAGGCAAGGGGCAGCTTCTGCCTCGGCATGGCTCCGAAGACTCACGGGGCTTCACCTCAATTCACCTAGCTGCGGAGTGGTCCAAGCGATGCTGGACACCAGAAAGATGGCCAGGAAGGCCCACAGGGTGAAGACGGGCCCCTGGGGGTGGCGATCTGGAGCCACAGCAAGAGCAGGGCTGTGATGGGGGGGGGGGGGGAAGGTGTCACAAGGGGGAGGGAGGCAGACTGGTCTGCAGACAGCTCCTTGTGGCCTCAGTCACTTGGGGACCAGAAGAGGCTGGGCAGGGCAGGTGGGGGGTGGCCCTAGAGCCCCACCAATGAGCCTCAAGGTTTCATGGGGCCCCCCACTTGATCCATTGCTCCAGATCGGTGGCCTCTGGGCCCTGCCGGCTCCAGTGACAAGGGCAGGAGAGGTGCTGGGCCCTGCCCAGCCAGGACGCAGCAATGAGGACATCAGGACGATGTGTAGTCCAGGGAACAGGGCGTCTACCATCTTGTTTTATTTTGCGGGGACTGAGCCTAAAGCAACCAGAAAGAACAAGTCAAAGGGGACCCCACTGCTCAGGGCCCACTGCTGGTTTATACTAAAAAAAGCGCTGGCGGCCCCAGGGGGCGGGCGACCTGCCGTAGAAGGACCGGCTCGGGCGCGGTTCCATCTCTCTCTTCCGGCAACCTTTCTCTCCCTTCCAACAGGACGTGTCTGATGCGACCCGTGTCAGAAAATAGCTGCTGGCTAGTTGGGGAGAAACATTCCCAAGCCTGGGAGGGGCGGGCTTGGCAGCCCCCTCGAAAAGCCTGAGCCAGTGTCCAAGGGTCAGGGCACTACGGCGTGTCGCGTCCAGGCCACTGGGGCCCCCTGGCTGTCCCCAGCTCCTGGACGTCAGAGTCTCGAGCACGGCTGGCTGGTCTTGGTAAAGCCGCATCCAAAGGCCGTGTGGGCTCTCTGGGTCGGTTCGCGGGCCTGAAATAGGGGGCAGGAGAGCTACACCCCTCAGTGTCCTTCAAGGCCCAGTGTAACCCTAAACCGGTAACAGTTCTGGGAGCTGGACTCTGGCCAGGAGAATACGGTCCGGCCTGCCTTCTGGGGCAGCCACGAGGATGACAACGGGCTGACGTGGAAAGGGTTTCCCACGGAGGACTGAGCAGACCCGCCCTGTAAGAACCCTGCCAGGCGTGAAGGCGGCCGGAACGTGGCCAACCCTTTCCACCTTTACACTAACTTTGTCAGGTGACCTGGGTGCACGGAGCAGAGTCTCCCCCTCGTCCCCTGAAGGATCTGAGCCACCGTCCCCACCCAGAGGCCGAGGTCAGCCGTCTTCCCTGCACACGCCTCCCCGTCCACTCGCCCTCTGCAGAAATGCCCGCGGGGGGGTCCACCCTCGCTGCGTGGCCCCCACGGATGGCCGGTGGCGGGTCCCCGAGGAAAGCTCCTGATTTCAGCCAAGCTCAGAGGCAGGACGAGCTGACCCAGAAGTTCATCGCGACCCCACACGGCAGGGACGCAGGCTCAGTGGAAGGAGCTGTACTGGGTGGAGGTTCAGCGGATTCACTGTACGGAAACTCACAGCAGCCTTGGCGGGAGCTGGACGGGGCGGGAGGGGAGCCACCCGCAGGCCACGAAGGAGCAGTTCACTGGAAACCAAGAGCCGGGCCAGACACGCCATTCCCGGAGGAGCGGTTAATAAAGCAGAAATGTGTTTATTAGGCCCTTGTTCCTCACAGAGGAGCAGGACCCAGGGCAGGAAGCGCTGTGAGATCTCTGGAGGTCGCAGGAATCTCCGAAGACTCCAGAGAATGTAGGTGCTGAGAGGCCACCACCCCAAGAAGAACACTATTTGGCTGGAGCGTGACCACTGGAGGCGACCCTGGCACGAAGCCCGAGTTGGCTCCTGGACTCCACAAACACTGAGGAGTGGGCAGGGGCCCTGGGACACCCCCCTAAACGCTGGCCCACAGGGAGGGCCTCACAGCTGAGGCACAAGCTGCCCTGAGCCCTCGAGGGGGGACAGGGAGCAGCTGCGGGGCAGGAGGGCCCAGGGCTCTGGGTAGTCCCTGGCTCAGGCCAGGTCCCAAGGGCCCTCCCTGCATCTGCCCGCAGCCTGCTGGCCTCGGCTTAGTCCCACACGTAGGGGTTTCTAAAGACCTGAGAGTTCTTGTCATCTGTTGGCGCGGTGGCTGTCTGGTGGCTCTGAGCCGCGTACATGTCTTCAGCCCGCAGGGTCGAGTTGGCACTGCCCACCACCTGGCTGTTGGCGGTGGCCCGTGGGAGGATGATGTCGTAAGCTCCCTCGGACTGGAAGAAAGAGCAGGTGGTCTCACTGCTGGCAAACATGGGGGGCGGGCACACACACACACACACACACACACACACAGCTTCGGGCAGGGCCGAGCCTGCCGGCGCCCCTTTCCCACCTCACTCCCCGCGCCCCAGTGTCAGGCTGGGTTGATGACTCTGCCTCGGAGGGGCCTCCCTCTGACCTCTAGCCCCTTATCTCACCCCGCAGAGGGCCAGGTCTCTCCTTAAGTTCCCTCTTGATCCTCAAACCTTGAGCCCAGTGGAGGGTGACCCACAGAGCGGCTGTCACCTGTCTGGAGCGCCCAGCTTCCCTTCCTCCACGAATCTTACCCGAGTCCCCCGCAGAAGCCCCGCAACCTCAACAGCATCGTAGCTGCTGGTGGGTCTGGCTGAGGACATGCTCGGGTCAGGCCCCAGACATGAGCAGAGATTTCTCATCTAGAAGTCTGGGCCGGCCCATCTGATTGGAGACTATGCTTTTGGGTTTGAGAATTTTAAGTTTAGGAGACTTCTGACCCAAATTCACTGCCCGGAACCTGGTTTGAGCTGCAGTGGTCCTGTTCTTGTGCGGGGGAAACACGGCTGAGAGGTGCAGAGGGTCCTGAGCATCCCAGGTCCCAGCCTGGAAGGAGGGTGAGCTCCTGGCCCCCCGGCCTTAACCGGAGGGAAAGAGCGGCCACCGAACCCCTGCAGCTCCAGGCCCCACGCCCCCTCCCTCCCCGGGGAGCTCCAGGAGCATCTCCATGGGTGTTCTCAAGCCTGGGTGGGCACCAGAGTCTCCTGGGCTGTTTAAGCCACACGCACACCGCGAGGCGGGTGGGAAGGGAGGAATCCCCGAGGAGTGGTGTTTGAGGGTTTCTACGGTGGTTTCTCCCATGGGGCAGATCTAGGTTATCAGGGTGCGGTCACTGAAGAGATGCTAACCCTTGAGTTCATCACACCGCTGGCCCCACTCAGTTTGCAATTTTAGCAAGATCCCAGGTGATAACACTGAAGGTCTGGGGACTGCATTTTGAGAGTCACTGTTGGTCCGGATTCCACCCCACTCCCCAACCCTGGGAGTGAGGGGTGGAAAGCATGGGGCACCCTCGGTGGCTGGGGCCCAGGGGACTCCTTTGCCCATCACGGCATCTGGTGGCTGTGGGTTCAGGCTGAGGGAGAGCAAAGGGCTGGGGCTGGAGTTTCAGACATTAGCTTCACCCTGCCCAGGGCTCCCAGGCGGAGGGGCATGAGAACACCCTGCTGACCTCCCTCCTTCCTGTTCCCAGCACCCTGCCAAGGCGGGTCACTGACCTCTCCCCACAGCATCTGCCAGCCAGGGAGCAGGAGCGTACGGAGCGAGTGAGTCTAACCCGCGGTCTTCCGGTTCCCACCCCCCTCCCTTGGCTAATGGAGCATCTGGTTTCCAGAGCCCAGGGGAGGTGTGAGGTTGAGAGCGGCTGCCTGCTGGTGGGGGGAGGGGAGCCCTCCTGAGACAGCTGTGATTTGTGTGTCAGTACCTACCCAGACCTGCTCCTGGGTCCTCTGTCCCTTGGGAGTCACCAAGACTGACACCCAGTGGGCTGAGGCCCTCCTCGGTCCCTCCCTAAGCTTCTGAGGGTGAGGCTGGGAACCCCCACGGGCTCAAAGAGCCTGTTCAGCCCCAGTTCAGTGTGCGATGCCCCGACAACACGGGGTGGGCAGGTCCCCCCGCATATAACTGAAGGCGTTGGGCACAGTGCCTCCAGGAAAGGGGCACCAGGGGCCAGGGCTCGGGTTCCCGAGGCTGATGCACCAAATGGAGACACCTGCCCTGTCCCCACTACCTGTACCTCACCCTGCACGGGCCACACGGCCCTCTACCGGCCACTGCCACTGGGCTCCTTTGAGCAGGGTCCTGGGGACTCGGGGGCCCCACTCACCGGGCCTTTGTGCATCAGGGTCATCTCCGTGGGCTGGTACACACTGGTCAGCAGCTGCCCGTTGTACCCACTGTACGGCGACACTGGTCTCTTGGCTGGAAGGAAACACAGGAGAGGTGTGAACGCTGGGCTCCCAGCTGAGGGCAAAGCTCCCCAAGGGCAGGGAGAGGGGTCTAGGCTTCCCAGGGGCGACGGCTACCCCAGGAAGGAGGCTGGCTGGGGGCAGCCAGCTTGGGGGCGAGGCTGTGGGGGCCCCTGCGGAGCCCACACCCCTTTGTTTGGCTGCACTGGGAGCCTCGATGCTGCTTGCCTTCCCCTCGAACTTTCCCGAAGTGCGGGGACCCCCCTTCATCCGTCAATTCATAAAATGCTCCTGTCAGCAACCTTCACATCCCCATCCGCCCTCCAGGGCCAGAGGCCGCACTATGAGGGGCACACGGGCCTCCGGCCGCCTCCCAGATGGCCAGCCTCCAGCTCTGGCCTGGGCTGCTGCGGGCCGGCTGCCAGGGGCTGGGGTGAATGCAGCAGAAACCCCCGGCCCCGACTGCAGGGCAGGGCTGCGTGCTGGCTCCCCACGACCTCAGCCCCGAGCCCCCCAGGGAACCGAGCGCACATCCTGTCCTGCGGCCCCTGGGCCCGTCTCCAGAACTATTTCCAGCTCCAGGAGCCCTCCCCAGGCCTCCGTGAGCTGGAGTCCTGGTCTGCGGTCTGCTCCACCCTGCTGGGTGCTCCAGGGTGTCTAAGGGGAGCTGCTGACCAGCCCGGGGCCCAAGGGCGAGCCAGGCGTGGAGGGCAGGCACAGTGGATGTCTGTCTGTCTGCTGCAGCCTAGTGGCCCCAAAGCTCTGAGGGACCACAGAGCTTCCAAGTGCCGGGCTCACTCGATTAATTTTTCCGTTTGGAAAAAAAAAAAAACATTTAAAGGAAAAGAAACCCTCACAGCTCCAGAAATGTTTACCTCGAAAGGACAAAGGCTGGGCACTATTTGGCCCTGACAAACACCAAACACCGGCAAGAGCAGAGGTGGGGGCGGCTGACGCTCCTCCCCAGACTTCCGCACAAGCTCCTCTCCTGCGCCTCATCGATCGCCCCCCGCCCGCTGGCCCCACTCCCTGCATGCCAGGAGCCACCCTGGGGGCGGATCGCAGAGCAGTGCCTGGCAGGACAAAGGTCACCCCTTTCCCCAGAGCAGATTATGGGCATCTCTGTAGAGAAGAGGCAGGAAGTTCATTCACTGCCTCTGGAACTTACCCTGCCCCTGGGACAGGCCCCAGAGATGGCACTTGACTATCATAAAGGTAAAGACTTAAGACCCCAAACATCCTGATCAGCACAGTCGGGGTGGGGGCAGGGCTCTGAGGCCGCACCTCTGGCTTTCTGGGTCATGTCAGACGAAGGGGTTGGAGCCAGCCAGCTAAGAAAGCATCTGAGACGCGCACATCAAGACAGGCATAGTGCCTGGCACCAGCAGGTGCTCAATAAATGCCAGTGGTCCTCAGTTTCGGGAGCTGGGAGCTTGTGTGGCCAAGACTGGAGAATGGCCATCCTCATGCCTGCTTCCCACGCTGCTCCGTGGGGGCGGGCTTGGCACAGGCTTCAAAAGCTTCATTCCCCTTCCTGCCTCTTCCACCGCTGGGCACCCCCAGTTTGACCAGTAAGTGCTGGGCTCTGCCAGGAAAGACTGTCCCGTCAACAAGGAGCCTGTGCAGGAGCTTGGGGACAAACTGGCTGGATCGTGAGTGCTGCTTTAGATTGGTACATGCATGAGTGCTGTTACTAAAAAGGAAAAAATTAACCGAAAATTGGATTGTTTTTAAAAGAAACTAAGCCCGGCTGGTGTGGTTCGATGGACTGAGCATCATCCCATGGACTGAGAGGTCCCGGTTCCATTCCCGGTCAGGGCACTTGCCCGGGGTCTCGGGCTCGATCCCCAGTAGGGGGCGTGCAGGAGGCAGCTGATCGATGTTTCTATCTCTCTCCCCCTTCCCTTCTCTCCAAAAAAATCAATAAAAGCATATTTAAAAAAATAATAAAATCCATTCAACTACTGATGGACATATGGATTGTTTCCATCTTTAAAAAACAGGAAAAAAAAGAAAGGAAACTAAGATGACTACGGACATGTACATAATAGAAACAGAGGTTCTGGAAGGATAAAGATAATAAAATAATAGTAACACGCACAGCGCACAGCTGATACTTCTCAGCACCTCCCGAGCGCCGGGCACGTGCAGTCATTAATCCTCACTAGAACCCTCTGGAGCAGGATCCGTTATGGGTCCCATTTTACAAACGAGGAAACTGAGGCACGTGGAGATAAGATACCAATCAACAGCCAGTTCTGGAACAGGAAGGAGCGGGGCAGAACTGGGGAAATGGGAGAAACTGTTTTATCTGTTATGTTTGAAATGTTATGGTGAAAATATATTCATGAATTACATGATGATAGTAAAAAAATATTTTAAGCCCTGGCCAGTTTGGCTCAGTGATTAGAGCATCGGCCGGTGGGCGGAAGGATCTCAGGTTCGATTCCTGTCAAGGGCACGTGCCTCGGTTGCAGTTTGTCCCTGGCCCTGGTTGGGGTCGGGCAGGAGGCAACCCATTGATGTGTCTCTCTCACATCGATGTTTCTCTCTCTCCCTCCCTCCCTCCCTCTCTACCTGATGATAAATGGGAAAATATCCTCGGGTGAGGATTAAAAAAATAAATTAATTAAATTTTAAAAAATACTTTACGAACCGGGATTCAGGGGCTTTAAGGCCCAACCTCGGTAAACCGCAAGGGACCTGCTCCAGTCCAGCCCCTGTCCCGCAGCACAGAAGAGGGCTGTGGGGAGGCCCACGACCCACCTGAGGCTGGCTCGTCCATGGAAAATGCCTTGTTCTCCACGAACATGCTCTGGCCCTTCTGCTCCTTCAGGATGGTCTCGTAGCCCACGCCCCGGGTGGGGTACAGATCTCCCTGGTAGCTTTGCTCTGGGCTGGCCTTGGTCACCTGGGACACCTCAGGGATGACATAGAAGAGGACGAAGGCCCAGGCATTGGCAGCGAGGGCAATGGCCAGCGTGGGGTCGTCCCAGGTGGGCCTGTTGTGCTGCCGGTTGCCGTAGGTGTACATGACGATCCACACCGCCCAGATGGCGATGGAGGTGGCCGTGGTGAGCAGCACGAAGACCCCGTGCTTGCGCCAGCGCTTGAAGCGGCCGCACAGGGCGGGCCAGGCCCCCGTGAAGGCAGCCAGCAGCAGCAGCATGACGTAGATGAGCGCCATGACGAAGTCCATGTTGGCAATGTCGCAGGGGGAGGCCACGGCCCCGCGGCCACTGCCGTTGCCCACAGCGCTGTCCTCGCCAACTCCCCGGACCAGCGTAATGAGCAGCCACTCGGTGTTGATGATCACCTCCACGAGGGTGAGCAGCACAGCCACGGCGAAGATCACCCAGCCCCGGGGCCCGTGGTTCTTTCGGGCCAGGAAGTTGAGCGCAAAGACGTGGGCCACCAGGCAGGAGAAGCAGATGGCGAACAGGACCCCAAAGAGGAACCGCCGAGAGGCACAGGTGGAGAAGTCACGCTTTACCACGCAGGCAAACACGAGGCAGAAGAGGCCCAGGGTCCCCAGCAGGAAGAACACCTGGGTCCCCAAAAGGCTCCGCTTCTTGGTGTCCTGCACAAAGGGAAGGCTGGCCACCAGGATGATGGTGAGGACAAAAGTGGTGACCACACCCGCCCCAGCCACTGCCTCCAAGATGATGCCCCAAGCGCCAGAGCGGTCACACAGGTTATAGTAGAGGGGGTTGAGGTCCGGGTTGCAGCCAGGGGGGGCATGGTTCTGGGCCTGTGCCCCTGGGAACAGGAAGAGAAGCAGTCCCAGGCATGTCAGCAAGCTTCTGTGGATGGCCATCCTGGCTCCCAGGCCAGGCTCCCACAGGGTCCCTAAAGACAGAGGGAGAAAAGGCAAAATCAGTCCTCCACAGTCAGACTCTGACATCGGTGCTGTTTCCCAGATCCTGAACCGGGGCAGGCAGAGCAAGTTGATCATGAGATTTCCCCCCTGGGCTTCAGAATCCTTCTTAACACAGAACTGCTGGGAGGCATCTCAACTGACCAGAGAGGCGAATGAAATAAAGCCCATTCGTCATCCCTATTCCTATTCATGGAAAAGGAAGAAACTATCATCGAATTTTCAGCCCCCCCCCAACCATAACCTAGGTCCAAATATTTCTTGAGTTCTTGCAGTCAAGTATGCCACCCGTTCAACACTTTCTCTCTTGCTCTGAGACTTTCAGAGTTCAATGGGCCAGATACCATGCCCCTAACTCTGTCCATGTGATGCCTACATCCATGGTGAATCAGTCCTAAATTCATTCATTCCACCATCCATTCATTCAACAAGTATTCAACAAACACCCAGGACAGGCATAACTTGCAGCCAAAAAAATGAAGAGTTGAAAAGTTGTATTTACACAATGGAGTACTACGCAGCCGTAAGAAAGAAAGATCTCTTATCCTTTGAGACGACACGGAGGGACCTGGAGAGTATTATGCTAAGCGAAACAAGCCAAGCAGAGAAAGACAAATATCACATGAACTCACTTCTTTGTGGAATATAATGAACATAACTATCTGAGGAATGGGGTAGTCCCAGAGACGTGAAAGTGGGTTACAGACTGACAATCCCCAGAAGAGGGGGTTGGGGGGGAGAGATAAACCACAGAACTTATATGCATGTATGTATGAACAATGGACAACAAAGGTAGGGACAGGGTGGGGAGGAAGGGGGAATCAGTGGGGGGGGAAAGGAGAAACATCTGTAACAAAAATAAATTAATTAATTTAAAAAATAAAATAAAAGCTGAAGCATTCTTAAAAAAAAAAAAGTTGTATTTATCAGCACTTCCCCCTGCGTCCTCCCTGCCACTTTCCTACTTTTAATGGCTTCTCTCTCCAGAATCCGAAGTTCTTTGTCTAGCTCAATTGCTGAAGTCTCGGATGAAATAATTGCCCAGCCAGGGAGTTCATGACTCAATGCAAAAATTCTCCGATGAGGCATTAACATTTTAAAAGCAAGAACCAGACAAGGGCAATGCAAAACTCAAAGGAATTAATCCATGATGGAAGACTTTAAATAACTGTAGCTAAAAGAAAGAAAAATGTCTTTCAGTCGCACCAGGAAGCTAACTTGTCGCTCAAGCGGCTCATTCGACCAGTCCTGCACAGCAGCTTGGCCGAAGGAAACCAAACTCCTGCTCTCAATACCCATTGGATTTTTCCTGTGTGAAGTGGCGGTAAAGAATGTGGCAGGTTAAGAGAAAGTAAAGACTAAATCAGCGAGCTTTCCAAGCACAGGTTTTACACTTGCTTGGAGAAGAGAAAACTTAAATGCTCTAAAATGCAAATTATAAATTCCCAAAGTCTACGAAATGCAGGCACTCCACCTTTAAATCACTCTGTATGTTCAAATAACTAGTGATGACTTTTCTTCTCACCTCTTGGGCCCAGGGACTCTCCAGAAAGACGGCAACCAAGCTTTCCTGGGCTGATAGCGACCACTAGTGGCTGGTAGGGGAAGGGCATGATCCAACTGGATCCTTCCCATTACCTCTCTTCCCTTTTTTGGCGGGGAAGAGGGGGAGAGATTTACAGTTTACTCCCTTATGTTTTCACCATTCCTGGTTACTGAATTTCTAATAGGCAAACAAAAATCCTAAATCTGCCCTGGCCAGTTTGGCTCAGCGGTTAGAGCGTCAGCCTGCGGTCCAGAGAGACCCGGGTTCAGTTTCCGCTAAGGGCGCCTGCCTCGGTTGGTTTGTCCCCGGCCCGGGACTTTTTAGAGAGAGAGAGAGAGAGGAAGGGAGAGAGAAAGAGAAACATCAATGTGAGAAACATCAATGGGCTGCCTCCTACACGCTCCCTACTAGGGATCGAGCCCACAACCTGGGCATGTGCCCTGACCAAGAATCACACCAGGACCTCTCAGTCCATGGGACATCTCTCAGTCCATTGAGCCACACCAGTCAGGCTATCTTCCCATAACTAAATGGAAGGACACTGCTAAGTCAGGAAAAAGAAAACTCATAAATTACTTGAAAAGAACATAAGAAAGATCATCAATTTTCCACATCCTTTAAGATAATCATGCCTCTTAAAAATATTTGGGGTATCTCAACCTTCTCAGCCACCTCCTCATCTTTCATTTAAGCTTGCTTTCCCATTAACTCTTTTTTTTTTTTATCCTCACCCGAGGACATTTTTCCATTTTTTGTTCAGATAGAGCGGGAGGGAGAGAGAGGAAGAGAGAGAGAGAGAAACATCGATGTGAAAGGGACACATCGAGTGGCTGCCACCCGCACGACCAACCAGGGCCGGGGACAAACTGCAACCGAGGTACATGCCCTTAGTGGGAACCGAACCCGGGTCTCTCTGTACCGCAGGCCGACGCTCCAACCGCTGAGCCAAACCGGCCAGGGCAACTCTTTTTTTTTTTTTATTAAATTATTTTTCAGTGACAGTCGACATACAACATTATGTGAGTTTCAGGTGTTCCACATAGTGATTAGACATTTATGCACGTTAGGAAGCGATCACCCATCCACTCTTAATAAATGAACACTCTTATGTGAGTGTCACCATTGTTTTCCGAAGTAACTAGCAGTGTAACAGCTAGTTCTCCCGACTTCCAATGTGAAAGTATGTTTCCCCTACCCCGTGCCTTAAATAAGCTTCTGCAGGGGGCTTTGTGTAATCGTGGACCGATAAAGCACACACTGTATTTATAAGTGTTGGTCCCAGAAGAGAGTCAGGAAGGGCTAATGGGTAAGGAGAAACACTGAACCACTCCAGGAGGTAATTTATGACGTCATGCTCTAGGATCCGAAGCACTCAATCTCCTCTTGGGCATCTTTGGCTCATAGCAGAGCAGCCAGAACTTGGGGTGAAGTTGGGAGATGTGGGACTGAACCCTGAGAATGGCCACCCAGACTTAGCCTCCGGGCACCTGCACATCTTCGAGTGCTTCTCATTCCATCCCAGTTTGGAACAAGCAGCTATTCAAATCTGCAGATACGTACTATGCACCCAGGGGACGGGCCCAGTCGTTCAGAGCTTTGGAAAATACGCAGAGGAGCAAACACAGTCCCTGATTTGATGGTATTTAAAAATCGAATAGGAGACAGAACATTTGAGATCTTGCGATCTGGCATAGGTTATCAGTTTGGCTCAAATAAACTCATAAAAAAAAAAAGCTAACGGGAAGGACAAGATAGGTCTACAAGAAAATGACACAGTGAAGAATAAGTAAGTGCCACACAACAGATTTTGCCTCCGGGGGAGAGAACGGTGCTACAGAAACAGAGGAGGGAGCTCTTCGGATGAGGGGTCAGAAGAGATAGAATGGAGACCGTCCACCAGGCTCACCAAGCACAAACTAAGTTGCACCCTGAAGCCCGATTAGAAATGCTTCAGGGGCCCTGGCCGGTTTGGCTCAGCGGTTAGAGCGTCGGCCTGCGGTCCAGAGAGACCCGGGTTCGGTTCCCGCTAAGGGCATGTACCTTGGTTGCAGTTTGTCCCCGGCCCTGGTCGGTTGTGCGGGTGGCAGCCACTCGATGTGTTCCTTTCACGTCGATGTTTCTCTCTCTCTCTGTTCCTCTCTCTCCCTCCCACTCTACCTGAACAAAAAATGGAAAAATGTCCTCGGGTGAGGATAAAAAAAATTAAAAAAAAAAAAAAAGAAATGCTTCAGGGAAGGGGTGCGGAGCATTACCCCGAAGGCACTGGGGAGCCACTGAAGGCTGTTTTTTTGCACGATAGGGGCATAACCAGGCTTGTGCTTTAAGATTTGAGTCTAGCACAAAGCATAGGCAATCTATGTGTTGAGGATACACTCATCACGTTTAAAGATCAAAGACCAAAGGTAAGCCATACCAGGCAGATCTGAGAGATCCCTTCCAAAATAAAATCTAAGTCCTGGTTGGATGTGAGGGGAAAGAATGCTAAGCCTATGCGACGAGTTCAAGTCTGATAAGAGCCACGTCACTAGAAAATACCGAGCCAGGTCTCATTTAGCCCTGTGACCCTTATATGCCACCCCTTCTTGATCTGTCTTACTCTTTTTGTGTGTGTGTGTGTGGTACGTGCCCCCAGTGGAAACCGAACCCAGGACTCTCTGGTCTGCAGGCCGACGCTCAACCGCTGAGCCAAACTGGCCAGGGCCTTGATCTGTCTTACTCTTAGATCTGTACCTGCCTGGACCCTGCCAGAACCCAGCACCTTACGGGCACCTGGGACAGGGCCAGGGCCAGGGCCAGCAAACTTCATAGCTCTCAGCCCAATTCCCTCCTATTGGTCCCGGACCTTATCTTCAAGTCTCGCCTCAGCCAACACGGGAACTTCCAAGGAAGGAAACAGGTACATGCCCCCCCACCCCACCCCACCCAGGTAACATGCTGACACTTACCAGCCCCAGAGGAAACCAACCATTCCCACCCTGATACTCTCATTTCTCTGACTCCCTGGTAAATGGAACGGCAAATGGGGAGACAAGTACACCCTGACTTGGGTGGGGAAATTGGGCCAGATGGACCTGGCTCTTGTCCACTGCCTAGGATAGTGACCCCTGGAGGCCAGCAGGAGACGTAGTGAAGGTAACTCAGAAGAGGTTGACCTCTGGGAGTCCAGACCCACCCACCAGTCAGCGGATGCCACATTTTAAGATGGTGAAAGGGGAAAGGCTGCAGTGGAAGGGACCCAGCTCTGCCTGGAGACTCTCCTGCCCATGGGTCCCCAGAGCCTGCGCTTCTAGGCTGAGTCTTCTGAGACCTGCACGTTAGAACTGTGTGCCCCTGTCTCCCCTACCAGACTCCACGGTCTGAGGGCAGCGAACAGGACCATCCCCTGCAGCGTTTAATGCCGTGCCTTGTACACAGTAGGTATTGGAAAATCGGTCCCTGGGTGGACTCTGTGCCCACTTCTCCGTCCCAGCCCTGCCTCCTTCGTTTAGGTTCTCAGTGGGACCAAGGAGGGGACTCACAGGTCTCCCCTACCCCAAGGCTGCAACCCAACCCCAGCCTCAGATTATTTTCTGGACAAAAGCCCCCTTTGCTTCACCTCCCTGGACTCAGCCATACAAATACATAGTCTTAATCACCTCTGAAACCGGCCTTTCCCCAGGCTCAGCGACTCAGCGCAGTCCAGTTCCAGGATCACCTTCTGCCCGCTCTCCTCCTGAGGGAGCAGAGGCCTCAGGAGTGCCGGTGGGTTCAAGGCCCAGCCAGCCCTGACTGGCCTCACCCAGCAAGGATGGGGCCACAGAGCCCTCTCACTTTTCCAGAACAACCAACTTCCTCCTCCTCAAGCCCGATTCACACAAAGGCCCAAGGTCCCTCCTGAGAACAGCGCCCTGGGCTTCCCACCGCCGGAATCTGTCTCCCAGGCTCGGACAGACACAGACCCCAGCCGGCTACCTGTGCGTGCTCCTGGGGCACCTATGATCACCCAGGACTGCTCCAGAGCATCCTCCTCCCTCCCCTTGTCTGCCACCACTCAGCAGCCTGCCAGGAGAGACGGATGGACCCCCTAACAGCCTTTCCACCTCCTCCCCTTCTCCCCTCCACCTCCTCCTCCTCCTCCATCTGTGAAGCCTGTGCCTGTAAGGAGCTACCTCAGTGCCCAAGTGTGTGTGTGGGGGAGGGGGTTTCCTGGAACCCCAATCTAGACCTCCACATGGGTGCACATTTGGGCCCAAATTCCCTGAGCATTCTGAAACTTGGAAGTCCCCAATCCAAAGGTCTGCTCCGGATATGTCACTCTGGAATGTTCCCCACCCCCAATAGCACTTCCTCCCCCCAGCCACAAAATAAGACTCAAGGGGGGGGGGGGACTCCAGGAGCAAAAATCCTATTTCCACATATTCAGGGATGCTTTAGGATTAAGGTTGTGGAATTCTTAAGTGACTGGGCTTTCCTGTGGCCGGGGGATAGAGGGGGCGCTACCCAACCTCTGAGGCTGGAGAAGGCCCTGGAAAAGCCATTGGGGGTGGGGGGGCAGGGAAGGGATCTAGAAGCGACGCTGCCAGAAGTCGAGGCTCTTTGATTGTCTGAAATCCCAAACTTGGAAGCAGCAAGACTGAAGGCTCCCCTCCGCCCCCGCCCCCACTGGGGTCTAGCCGACGCTCCCCTGATCATCGGAACAGAAGGAGCTGGGCGGCCGCCTCTCTCCCCCATTTCCTCTGGTCACAGAAACCTGCCCTCGCCATGTACCGTAGCAAGCAGCGGAAAAGACAACCGCCCCCGAGTCGCTGTTTGACCGTGGACTCGCAGAGAGGCAGTGGGGTTGGAGGGGACACACCTCGAAGACCCCAACTGTGCAGTTCTCCCCCGCAGCCCCCACTGGGGGTCGCAGCGCCCGGGTTCTCCCACCCCCGGTCCCTGGCAAGGTCTGGTTTGGAAAGTTTCTGCGACCCAGCGGAGTTGGAGCGGCGTCCTCCGCCCCCCGCTTCTCTGCCCTAGTCCACTCTCCGCCAGCCCAAGCCAACTCTTCCGGACAGCCGACAGGGGGGCAGAGCGAAGGCTGCAGCTCTTACCTGGGACGCGCCGCCCGCCCGGCTCTGGCGCGGGGTTTGGGGCCAACTCCAGCCCCAAGCAAGGCGCGGGCGGAGGTGGGAGGGGCGCCGTGCAGGGCGCGGGGCCAGGCCCGCCCTGGCCTACGGTGTCTGGGCCCAGCTGGGGCTCGGGCGCGGGGGGCCTGCCTCTCCCCGGACTGGGGCTGAGTTGTCCGAGCTCCGCGCTCGCTCCTACACTGGCCTCTCCCCAGGCTCGGCTCCTTTCTCTCGGCGAGGGTGGGCCGGCGCCTGCATCACCGTGACATCACCTCCATTCAGGCGCTTATCGAGCGACCGCAGCTCCAGGTATGTGCAATCGGTTTACACTGTAACAAAGCCCGCCCAGCCCTCCCCCTCCGACTCACCTCCAGGCTCCGGCGAGTCGCACTTTCCGGCCCGGGAGGGAGGACGGAGTTTCTGGCTGAGCTGGCCAGTGGGTTGTTGCTGTTTACTGCCACGCCCCCGCACGCGGGTGCGCGCACACTCACGCGCACTCGGTTTCTGGACTCGGCTTTCTCTCCAGAAAGCGGTGAGGGGTGCAGCCCAGCGCACCTCGCAGGCGGGCTCTCCCTCCCTGCACGTACCGGCGCTCACTCCGAGACGCGCGGGGGCCGCCTTGGTGCGTCTCTCCGTGGTGGACACCTCGCCTTTGTCACCTTCGTCCTGGGTCTCCCGTGAGACACCCTCCAGACACAGCTCGCTGCTACGGGCTGGAGCGAGAAGCACACTCAGACACAAAGTCCGCCTTTGTCACGCCTTCTGTGCCCCCTCCCATCTCCAAGCTTGCACACGTGGACACACCACACACCAAGTGTCCGCCTCTTGCATGCATGGTTCTTCCCCAACACCCGGACCACTAAGTGTGCGTGACAACACCACTGTGCGGGCCCCAAATGCGGTGGGCCGAGCTCAGAACCACTCGGGACCGTGAGCAAACTTCGCCCCGAGCCCGACTAACCCGCGCCTGGGTTTCCAGGGACCAGCCCAGACTCGGGCCAACTCGGAGTGCGCTCCTCTCCCGCGTCCCGATTCCCTGTTCTGACTTGCCCTAATTAGCCTTCCTGCTTCTGTTCCCCTAGGTACAGTGTTTAACCCGCCCCAGGAGGACTCAGCGCTGCGGACACGTCTGCCCTAACTCCGAGTCCTGCCCTTCCCATCGCCCAGGGACTTTTCCACGACTCGGGTACGCTTGGCCCTCTCCACGCCCCACCTCCACTCCTTGCTCCGGGGTGGATCAGCGGGTTGCCACCTTTTCCCCTCCAGGAATTCGCAGAAAGGGAACTGCAGAATTGAGGAAGCGAATCCAGGCTGGGACCTCCCCGGTTCAGTAAACAAGAGATTTTCTGGCTGCCTGCCTTCCCCAAGGGCAGTGGGTTACGAGCGAGGTGGGCTGCTCTGTCCCGGGAGCCCACAGGGGCCTAGTTAGCACGCGCGGGAGGCCCGGCGGGGCCGCGGTGCACCGGGAAGGGAGAAATAGTTGGGTCTGGCTGGGGCTCAGGGGACACAGAGGAAGGGCAGGGCGCTGGGTCTCCGGGGTGCTGGTTCTCTTGCCGCTGAGTTGCCTGGGGGATCGCCAGAGGCGCGCGGTCGGTCGGAGCCTGCTGGTGGCGGGGCGTGTTTGCTCAGCCTGGAGCGCGGGTGGGGGAGAGGAGGGAGGGGAATGGGCGCAGCGGGGGAGGAGGGGTGGCAGCTGGTCACGGGCTCGGGGGTGGCAAGGTGGGGGGAGGGGTACCTCCCGGGCTGTTTGTTTGCGTGCCTCAATCTATGACAACCAGGAATCTAACTCCGTGAATCACCCTGAGCTGCCGGAGCGATAAACCTCAGGCCGGCGCCTCCCCGCGCACACCGGCTTTTCGGACTCTGGCTGGGAATATTTGCTTAGCGGCGGAGCTGGCGGTGGGGCCCAGCTTTTCTAGCACCTTGTCTCCCTCTCGGTGCCTTGCCCTCGCTGGCTGGGCTGGGAAATGAAGACGGAATTGTTTTAGTGCTTTTAAATATGAAGCGGAAGAGCGCAATTCCATCCCCCACTCCACGACTCAGGGATCCCCCTACCCCTACCCTGCTCCATGGGAGGGAGTGCAGAGCTTGTGAGGTCCAGGCAGCTGGGTGCACACCACGAAAGGGTGAGCAGCCGATCTGGTCTCAGTGAGACCGATAAGTCACTCTGGCCTAGTGCTGTAGTTTCATTAACAAGGCTACTAATGCAGAGATCAGTCTGCGGGGAGGGGTCTCTCGTTAGCACATGTGATATACCAATTCCGAGAGGCGGGAAATGGTTGGGAGATGGGAGTGGTCTGAGAGACCTCACAGAGACGCAGATGAATTGTGGATCCTCCTCAGTGTGCTTTCAAGCCTTGGGAACCCCTTCACCCTACAGAGACCTATCCCAAGAAGCAAGTCTCCCCCTACAATCTGGGGCAGGCAGGGGGAAGGTTAAGGTAGTGGGTGCCTGGCCACCCACTGGGCGTCATTTGGACAGAAGCCTGGGGCCGCGGGAGCTGACCTCTGCCCTCGGCCAGCCCTGGGCGGTAGATAGCAGTGGAAATGTAGGGCAGTGTTCTGAGTTTTCTTGTTTCCTTTTCCCCCCACCTCGCCTGGAACAGGATCTGCCTTCGAAACAAAGCAAGGGCCTGGCACACCGGCCCGGCCCCAGGATCCCTGGTGCCCTCTGCTGTATTCCCCTGGGGGCCTGTGCTGCTGAGAGGTGGGGGGCTGGAGGTGGAGATGCTGAGAGCCTCACCCCCACCCACCCTGTGAGTCAGAGGCGCTGGGTGCTGCTGGTCCCAGGGGGCCTGGAGGGGCTGGAAGGGAAATTCTGTGGGAGCTGCTATAATTGCTTTCGAAGACTCCAGCTACAGGGTCATCTTCACCCATAATAATAACCCACAGGCATATAAGCCTTATAAACTCCCATTTTCACTAAAAAATAACACGTGGAAACGTGGTCCCATGTGGGAACTGCCCACTCGCTGTTCAGGAAATCCTGGGTTAATGAATTATAGAGGGGCGTCCGTCTTCTTCCCTCCCTGATACGGTGCTGGAGATCCTGAAACTACCTTCATTCATTGGAAGACCCCCTTCCGGAACCTGAAAGAGTCTAAGGTACTGACAAGGCCCCGGGGTCAGGAGCAGCTCTGCCCTCTGCCAGCTGTGTGACCCGGACAAGTCCCTTCATCTCTCTAAGCCCCACTGTCCTCTGCTGTAAAACTGGTATGATGTCACTCCACATCTTGTGGGAAAGTCCACACGAGGCTGTGTCCAGAACATTCCTCAAACAGCCTAGCAGATGCTCAGTGGCCAGCCTCTCTGTCCCTAGTCTGTCCCCTCTGAGCCTTGGTCCTGTCAGGTAAAAAGGCCTAACAGTTTTGTTTAAAAAAAAATTTTTTTTTTCTTTATTGACTTTAGAGAGAGGAAGGGAGAGGGAGCGAGAGATAGAAACACTGATTGGCCGCCTCCTGCATGACCCCCACTGGGGACCCAGCCCACAACCTGGGCACGTGCCCTGAACAGGAACCGAACCGTAACCTCCTGGTGCATGGGTCGATGCTCAACCACTGAGCCACACCAGCTGGGCAAAAGGCCCAACAGTGTTAACCCAAACGTATAGAAGCTGCTCCCTCCCCCAACATTCTCCTGATTCTGTTTCACTCTTAGCAGAGTAGTCATGCGTGCTCTGGGCCTTCGCCTCTGCTGCTCCTTTTACCTCCAACATCCTTCCTTCCCACTCCCGAAAATGTCTAGAACCAAAATTTTAAAAATATGCCCTGCCCCAGAGCTCAGCTCCAGTGGCTGTCCTCTGCGAAGCCGTCCTCCCCTCCCCAAGAAAGAACCATGTGAACTGCCCTATTGACCCATGGCCTGCCATGCATTTGTTTATTTCTCACTGATCCTAGTGTATCTTAATCAGCCTTCTAATTATTGGCTCCCCCGTTAGATTGTGCCCTTCTCAAGAGCAGGGACTTGTCTCACATCTTGTTGCGCCTGGCATCTGGCCCAGAGCCTGGCACGTGGCAGACCCTTTATTCTATGGTCCAAACAATGGCAGCAAGAGTTGATACAGCCCCTGGAGGGTAGCCCCCGGCTGAACCCCTCACACCAGGGGCCTTACAAATTGCAGCACCTGCCTGCACCTGCCCTGCCCACCGGTACCCTTCCTTCCTGGGAAGCAGACGAGCCCCGGAATCTGCTGGGGAAGTCCGCCTCCCTGGTCCAGAGAGCCCTGCACTCAGAGTCCAGAGTAGGGGCCTTGTCTGGGGCCCTGGAGGAGCCTGGCTGGACTGCAGCTGGCTCCCTGGAGGGACTTACTTCCCTTTTGCCTGGGCAGCAGCAGTCCTGGAGTGCAGCTGCGGCTGGCCTGGCCGAGTCTCTCGGCCATTTCCTCCTCCGGGGAGCAGGAGGCCCACATCCCAGGAGGTGGGGTGCCCCCAGTCCTGCAGTCCGGGCCCAGCTGGCTGCACTGAGGGTGGGGCTCTTGGCTCCCAGACAGGTAGGTGCCTGAATCTTGCGCTGGTAAACAGATTTTGCATTTGCCCTCTGCTTGCCCCTGGCCCCCATGTTAACTGGTTACTGCTCAGGTCGCAGTGTCTGGCTGTGTGTCCTTTTCTCTTGGGCTTGTGGGACTGCCTGCTTGGAACAGCAGGTGCCACCTGGTTTTTGAGAGGACCCAGGTATCCAGGTGGCCCCCTAAGAGGCAGGAAGCCAGGGGGTGCGGGGCAGGTGAGTTAAACACTCATTCACCACTGCTGGCTGCCCATGGACGATCCCTCTGGAAATGTACCGGGAAGTGGGCCTTGGGCAGAGCCTGCTGGAATGTCACCTGGTGCTGACCCCCCACCCCCAACCATGGCTCAGTGGCCACTGACCAACCCCTGTGAATGAAGAAGGCTGGATTTTCTGAGCTGCCCAGGTCTGGACAGCCTCCACCAACAGACTGAGTGAATCTAGGAACCTGGGTCAAAGCTGAGGGTTCAGGATTTAAGCCCCTCTACTCACCCACCCCCTTTTTCTTAAAAAAAAAAAAAATGTGCAAACAGTGCTGCATGTAGGCCCCTCCCCCCCTCAGGTAGTGTCACTCCGGGGCTGGGCGTGCCTTCTGCCTCGCCTCCAGCACCCTGCAAACCCCGTGCATTGTGGGACATTTCCCACTTCACCCAGCGCTGTGCTCGCCACTGGCTCCACTGCTGTCAGGTGGAAAGACCAAAGCCCCGTCCCGGCATCCAGGCCTCCTGGACCCGCCCTCAGCTGGGCTCCAGCCTCATCTCTCCTCTTCCCCGCAGGAAGTGGCCGCTCCAGCCTGGAGGGCAGCCCCGGGTCAGGCCACCACACCTGCCTTCCTGGGGCTTCGCTCATGTTGCCCCCACTGTCAATCCAGGATGTCCCCCTTTCGGCCTCTCTGAAACAGCCCCCCTTTAAAGCCCTCTACTCCTCCCAGAAGC